GAGAAGACGATATTTATCAATACCCAATTGGAAGAACAGATTGGAACCAATTGGATTTGTAATCTTTGCAACTTGCATGTGTACAGCAAGTTTACAAATTATCAAGGAAGGTATATCTCAAATTGTAACAGGTCTCATTACTGGTGATGTTTACAATAATAATAGCTCTGCTGATTCCAATGCTGAGGTTGAATGGATGTTTGGAATTATGATTCCAAAATATCTCTCCTCAATTTTCTATTGGTATGGTATTGGTGTCTTGTTGGCAACTATTCTCATCAAATTGGCTCTCCATTTGGTTTGCAGAAGAGTCAAACATTCACCATCTGTAATTGCCTACGCATTCGATCATAGAAATGATGTCTTATCGAACAGCTTGTTACTTGTTTCATTATTCTTGAGTACTTACTTGTGGTGGTTAGATTCTATTGGTGCAGTTCTTTTGAGTACTTATATTATTAAGAGTTGGATTCAGGAATCTTTGGAACACATTACAAAACTGGTTGGCTTGACTGCAGACAAGGAGTATATTCAAAAATTAACATTTATGGCCTTGAATCATAGTCCTTTAATTACACAAGTTGATTCAGTAATGGCCTACTACTCTGGAGCTAATATGATTGTTGAGATTGATGTTGTCCTTCCAAAGGAAACTCCACTCTTGGACTCTCACGATGTTGGTGAATCATTGCAAAAGAAGATTGAATCATTACCAGATGTTGAAAGATGTTATGTACATTTAGATTATGAATTTGAACACACCAAAGATTATGAACATGTAATTAAGGACTAATTCAAGATATTCGAAATCTTCATTATCATACTATTGAAAAATACATTGTAAATAAAACGCTCTCAATTATTTATTATTATTTTTATTTGAATAATTCCAAGAATGATTGTACAGATTTTGACAAGATTAATGAAACATGTGAAGGTTCTGTTGGATTCTTTGGTGAAATATGTTTGATTGGAAAGATTGCCTTCTCCACCACTCTGTGGAATGCTTTCACTCT